ATGTGATTCAGGGGTGGTATTTTAGGAAGAAATTAGATGCTCTTCACTCTCAAGTTAAAATTCCATCTGTTTGTCTTGCCTTCACACTCACAGCCAAGAATGTCGCAGCTGATATTTCTGAGAAGTTATGTGATTCAGTGGCTACCAAACTGGAAGGCAAAGTGCTGGGAACATTCAGTGGTAAGAGCATGTATTGATAACATTCACCCTAGCTTTTCTAAGAGACAAAATGTAAGTTAAGCTTCAAAACTCAAGGGGAGGAAGCAACTAGCGGTATATCTGTTTCTTCATAATGGGATGTCACTCCTTAGCAAATTCCGCCCCCCTTCCCCCTCCCAGTACTTGCCAATACTTGCCAGTACTTGTGAGTTTTCTTGTAATACTTCACCAGGACCTAATTCAATACAATGTTAATTATTTTAAGCACCCGCTTTGTAGTTCGGAAAAGTTAAAAGGTGCCAAGTCTATGAAGACGAACATGAAATTTCTGTCCGCTGAAGTGTGGAACAGTTTTACTTCAGTTGATATGTTTGTTACTTATCATGTTACATTCTCTCTTGAAAGGCGTAACATCGACGGTGAAAGCAAGCTTGGAAGAATCTTTGGTCCAGATTTTGTCGCCACGAAGAAGAATTGATATCCTGCGTGATGCAATGGATGCTAAGAAACGTGGAAAACCTTTTTCTATCACCTTCTGTGGTGTAAATGGTGTTGGAAAATCAACCAATTTGGCCAAGGTAAAACATGGTGCGCATTGTGAAGAAACGTGTCCTATATCCTTGTCAAGTGGTTGGAAAAGACTTGAAATCCAACTAAGTACTTTTCATGCTAAAGAAAAAAAACAGTTCGGGCTTCGACGGGATTCCAACTCCCAGATAGCAACTGGGCGTTACTACCAACAGAGCTACGAAGCCCTTTGCCGTGAGCGAGGGAAATTTTAGTAGGTTTTTCGTTTTCGTAAAGGAATCTCTACCTCCCACGCTCCTGACGAGACGAAACAGACGTCTTTGTCTAGTTTATTGCCGAGCGAAAAATTCACCATCGTTCTTATTCCGTTTACGTGCATAACGCTTTCGACACTGTTGACCCTTGCTGTTTTCAGGACGCGTTTCACAGAGAAACGTAGTGATGGCCTGGCTCACCGTAAAGTCTCTGTTCCTCAGTGGTAGAGCATCGAAGCGCGAAGCTCTAAGGTCTGAGGTTCGATTCTTCTCGAGGATTCAGAGCTAGATTCCTTTGTTGCACGCACGCGACAAGAAGAAAAAACATCTCTCGTTAAAAGAAATGTTCAAAACTTCATTGAAATTTGACGGACGCAAATGTTTATAGAGAAAAATATTAAAATGTTTTTAACCCGCCATTTGCGAAAAAGCGCTATTGTGGAGGATGGGGGAAAACAAATCGCTAAACGCAGCCTTTTTTTCTTCTTTCTTTTTTTCAATTTGTGTTTGCAGATCTGCTTTTGGCTGCTTGACAATGGTTTCCGTGTGATGATTGCTGCATGTGACACATTCCGTGCTGGAGCCGTCGAGCAGCTCAGGACTCATGTCCGTCACCTTAACGCTCTTCATCCCCCAGCAAGTGGCGGTGGACCTCCATCTGTTCTGCTGTATGAGAAAGGCTACGGTAAAGATGCTGCTTCTATTGCCATGGACGCCATCAATTTTGGTAAGCTTGACTCAACAGTTGTAGGCGCTCGCATAATAAATTTTTAAGCCTTGTCTTTATTTTGTTATGGAATAAGGTGGGAAATGTTTTTTTTATGTAGTTGGAATATGACACAGTAGTTTGACATTAGTTGTTATTGAGGTAATTATTAACGTGTCGAAAGATCCACCGCCACGTCTCACTCTGTACGCTCTGCGTGCTCATGACATACGTAGACTGATGAACCATAGTCGTTCGTTACTCCTTAGTTGTGGACCTCATCGGTTCGTTAGGAGTAGCAGCACACAGCGAATATGTTGCGTGGTATCTCCAAAGTGACGTTGGTCTGGCTTCACTGTGTACTGTGATTGGTCAAAAAAAAAAAAAAAGGCGCCAACCCATCAAGCAATCAGACACAAAACTAAAACCGGTCTTGACTTCTTCACTTTCGTTTTCCCGCGCCTTACGCAGTTTGCTTTTTGCTTTTTTGAGTTCTCATTGGCTCTTGTGAAATTTCCTTTTATGCTGATTGACATTGATATCTGTTCGTACTTCAGCCAGGGAACAGCGCATTGATGTCGTATTGGTTGACACCGCCGGAAGAATGCAGGACAACGAGCCTTTGATGCGAGCCTTGTCTAAAGTACGCAGCGCTTGTCCTTGTTTTTTTTCTTCCTTGTTTGCTTTTCTATTTAATGGACAACGGATAAATGACAGCAAATGTAAGAAGAGTGAAGTAATTTTGCACAAGTATGTCGTCCAGAATGATACACTATCGAAAGATAAGGTGGGGGAACCATGGGTGTATCTGGCCCTTCACTTCGTCAAGAGAGGAGCCATAAATTTTAAAAATGATGATAACTTTACATTTCTGCGGATACTATGATCCTGGACTGATTTTTTTTCGCTACCTTTTCATATTGTATTTCCGTGTGCTTGTGCATGGCCATAAAACCTTTTCACGCCGAGCAGACCCCGAACGATTTCACTTCCTCATAATTACCCGCTAGCCTTTCATAGTTTGGGGTTTTAGTACTGTTGTAAAACTCCTTATAGACGGTTACGATAATAACTTGAAACGCGCCTTAGAATTGTTTACTTCAAGAAGTGCTGCTTGACAGTGACCAAGAACAATTTGATATATATATATATATTTTTTGTTTGTTTGTTTTTTTTTGTTGTTGTTTCAGTTGATCAAACTCAACTGTCCCGACCTGGTGCTGTTTGTCGGAGAGGCCCTGGTAGGGAATGAAGCCGTAGACCAGTTAAAGAAGTTTAACCAGGCTCTGGCGGATTTTTCAATGTCTGATAACCCCCGTCTGATCGATGGTATTGTCCTCACCAAGTTTGACACTATCGATGATAAGGTATTTTGACATGCTACAGAGAAATTTTCAATTAAAAGCTAAATAATTGATTTTGCTTTGTTTTGGTCTGTGATTGGTGTCGAAAACCAAAGTCATAAGCATTTTCCACGTGTCAGGCACTCTGGTTGTTTTTAGTGTTAGCTCCTTTTGATTTAAGCTTCCTTTCCAGCCGTTGTATAGGAAACGAGTCCGCGCTCCATCCCCGCAGAAAGAAGGATGGAACACCGAATTTGAGAAAACGGCGAAAGTCTAGACCACTTGTGATATTTTCTTTTGTTCTGATTTGCCTTTTAGCTTTTCTGTGACTTTAGTTTTACGTTGGTCAATCGAAATTTGATCCATAAAAACCTAAGGCAGTTTACCACTTGTCAAACCTTTTAATCTGCTAAAAGCTGCCTTTAGTAACTCACTTGACGTTTCACGCCTCCTTTGGTGTTTGACCATCGCTACTTTTATCACTTTTGTAAGGTTGGTGCTGCTATCTCCATGACGTACACCACTGGCCAGCCGATTGTGTTCGTGGGCACTGGGCAGACTTACAGCGACTTGAAGAGCCTTAATGTAAAGGCCGTCGTCAATGCTTTGTTGAGGCCCTGAGACTTGACAACTGAGTGAAATTTTCGTCTTTTAAAGTGTAACATCTTCCTTGGTTTTAAACAAACAATCATAATAAGATTTCCAGCTTTAGACTGATAATTTAGCATTTGTTCAGTGTAAGGGAAAGAATAACCATTAGGGTGTGACGTCACCGGGAATCATAGAGTTTGTCCCAGGCCGGGTTTGAAAAAACAGGTCAAATCAGTTATTATGATGAACCAAACAAAGCCATGTATTACTAATGTGATTGTTTTTCCACTCTCCCACTCCTGGTTCCAAAATTTTCTTCTTAGACAGAGGAGGACAACCGCAAAACCTTAGGAGAAAAATTGAAAAAAACAAAGCTGGTCAAGAAGTGAACCAAGCGAAAAATGTTGCTCCCACCTTCTTTTATTCGTCAGAGAAAAAATGCAAGAATAATATAATAATAAAATTTAGGTTATAAGTCAACGTTAGTGTTTTTGGCAACTCTATTAACAGTTACTTTACATTTTGATCATCACTAGCAGTTAAAGCAAAAACGGTCGCATTCACTCGATTATGATTATCGTGATGACGTTTGGTAAGGTGGTCGGAACGTCAGTCTACCACCGACAACAGTCCCTGTCAAGACTACTCTCTCCTAGACGATCAGACCACACGAATCATTTCTAATTTGGTTATTATTAACGCAGGTCAGAGGAGAAAATGCTATAACTGTAGTTTTCAAAACTCAAAATCTTTGTTTGTATCTTTGTACACCAGTATGAAAGGAAAATTCAAGAACTGTTGCCAGGTATACTATATCTAGTTAAGGTTGTCGATACTTGGAAATTTAAGTACCTTAATGATTTGATTTAGCACCCTTCTTACAATAAGCGGCCCCCCTCGATACTGTTTTTATAAATAAGTGCACTAATTCGAATAAGCGCCCCTATCCCAATGAACGCCCCTACTCAGTTTCAGTAATAGCACTTTTAGGGTACATTTACATTGAGATCAACCGAGGTTCATCTTTCCTTAATTGCTCACTTAAAGCCTCACGACAAGAACAGTGGTCTTACAGTTTCTTGAAATGAAAGATTCCGTCTCAAAATTTTGCGACGAGGGACAACAAGTCCGTTTTTCAGTCTTTCTGATAAATATTGCCTTTCTGGCCGCCACTTCCCAATGGTCTACATGACTGCGTCTGCTTTTGACGCGCTCAGTTCAATAATACAGCCTTGAGGTTTCTCGAAAGTTTGAAAAATTGCAAAAAAGGTTCACTATTTTAATGCTAGTATTATTATAAATTATGATTATAACTATGAACTTGCCGTACAGATAATCATTTTGGACATTTTGGAAAAAGCCCTATTATCTATGAGCATTTTTTGAGTACTGAAGATTGGGATCCAGCTCTTGCTCTGCTCATTTGTCGTCATCTATTTCCGACTCGTTGACAGTCTTTGACTGCATCGTGGTCATCGGTGCCTCATCTATCTTCCTACAAGCTTTTTGACCAGCACTGTTGTGTGCAGTTGTTGTGTATAGCAGTAAGGACATTCCCAGCTCCAGACACCGCATTAATGTCATGAAAATGTACCAAGGCCACGGCGAAATGAATTGCGCATGGGATGAAGCGCCGCTGACGCTGACCGCAGCGTAAAGATGCATGACGGCGATACTAAAGCCGCCTACACTGGCTGTTACACAACGTTTGAAAATAGAAAATGTCTGCGTGCCTCTGTCTAGAGTTTTCGACGAACCTTCTCGCACAGTGTGAAGCTTTTTCCAAAGAAGGAAGGAAATGTATGAGTAAAAGAAGGTCAGGCTGATATATAGAAGTATGTTTATTACCTGGCAAGCCAGTATCAAGCCGCTGTAAGCTGGAATAAACGCAACAATCACCTCAGATGTGAACACGAAGATGTAGTAAGGAAGAGTAACCAAAGTTATGTTTCTTGTCGTATACCAGGTTTGAAATCTGTTTTTCATCACTAAAGCATTTCGCAACACTAAGAAAATCAGCATGAACGCTGTAATCAAACAAGGCTGTCCAATTCCCCAGAGTAGACTCGTCACTTTCGCTGAAACATGCTTCTTTGAATGGTAGGCGTCAATACACAGAAAGAGACATCTTGATGAACCGAAGATGAAGATTTGACTCAGCACAACGAACGACACTTTCTTTTGTCGAGCCCCCCTATCCATTTTAAATAATTTCACCAGCGCCACAAACGCTAGTAAACTGATGACACCGAATAGAGCTCCGAGTCCATATTGATGAAATTCCCACGCGACTCCCCAAGTCTCCACAGCAATATCCCACTCGGGCTGAGGTTCGGCCGTCGGTTCAGCTGTCGGCTCGGCCTCGGCCCCGGCCCCAGCCCCAGCCCCGGCCCATCCGCGGTATTCTCCTTCAGGAGTAGCTTCGGTCGTGGCCGTCCCTTTTACAGTTTCTGGTTTTGAAGTCATCTTGTTGCGAGTGGCGCTGAGTGGTAAATAAATTTTCTAACCTCTATCTGTCTATTGAATACGTTTGCGCAGTGGAAGCTGTTTGCTTTATCCTGTTACAGTGGTGGGGAAGTATAGATTGGTTTGCGTCCAGGAAACGAACTCTAGAGTTCGCTCAGTCAGATGTTCAAGTCTAAAACTGCTTGAAACACCCTCAAAACTCTTGCCTTTGTTGTGAATACCGACCAAATAAGACAAATACAGCTTTCTCTCGAAGCTGTGAAAAACATGGTTCCCCTTCAGATGCAGCTAATGATGTAAATAGCTTAATATGCGACAAAAAAGCGTTAACAACCAGCTGTCATAGCGATTGTTTTAGCTACACAAAAACAAGACTGTAAATTGCTCTCCTCCATAAAAACTTAAACAAAGCAGCTATTGTTTAGCAAGAACAGACCCGATGAATTGAGAGCCGCACAAGAGGATTACCCAGTTTAAAATCCAATTGGAAAAATGGACTCTTGTTTATCTCAAAATCTAATTACGTTTGCTCAATTATTTATGAATCAAAAGGTTAGAGAAAATTCTCGTGTCATTAACGCTTTCCCTAACCTCTATATTTACGATTTGCTATGTTGATGCTATGACGAAGTCTTCCAACTCCCGCGGACAAAACTTTTGAGACAATTAAGCTAAATTCAATCTTCCTTTCAACCAAACCTGGTATATCCTACTCTTTCTAATTCTTGTCTCCTCTTTCAGTGTTGTTTCACAAGTTGTTTTTCCTCGGAGAACATATCTTTGTTTATTTACGAGAAAAAAATGAAACAAAAAGGGCAAGAGAAGTGAGAGAAGGTTTTTTTTAAAAGTTAGGTTGTAACTGTGTCAGAGGTTTTGTCTGCGATTGCACTTTAGTTCAATTTATCGAAGCAATTCCAGAAGACGCCTTTTAGAACGGATGCTAAATGTGGTATTGTTTATCATGTCGTGAAGTATATGCTCTCACTTGAACTCGGTCAATTTAAATCCGACTAATTACTTGGAGAGGCCCGGAATTTTTCAACTTAGAAGAAAACCCAACATTTCCAGTGTAGCCGGTATATGTAACCATGCAAAGAACAGTGTCTTTTCTGTACTCATGCTGTGTTGTACAAGGTGGTACAAGGTTGTACGTTTATACTCCTTGCAAAAGAAA